TAAAAGAAAGGTTTATTGTATAAGAAAGATTTATTATGTCATGAAAAGATAGATTAAATGTCTATGGAAAAACAAGTCAAATTGATTATTAGCTGTTGAAAGAATTTTTTGAATGAGAATAATATATTTTGAATATAATTAATGTAATATATTTTTGGGATTGTGTAAACTATACAAGTCATAAAATATATAGATTTTTAAAATTGTAAAGAGTTATGAGTGAAATATAGAATATCTTATCTTACTCTTCCTTTTTGTAATAACTCTATCATTTCTTTCTATCAAGTTTAACATCTGGTATCAGAGCATAGGTTAAGCTATAACCTCTTTCCAGTATCAGTCCAAATCCCTAGATTGATAAAAAAAAAAATTATGATATATGATGCATCCAGATAAAAGTTCTTCTAAGCTCCCAAGATGTATGAGAATTTGTAGAAGATGGATTTATTGAACCAAGTCCAAGAAGAAAGAGCAATGAATGTAAAAGCAAGAAAATAACTCAAAGATAGAAGGAAGAAGGAGAAAAAAATATTATTCATGATCTACTAAGGGCTTGATGATATAATGTTCGAGATCATTGCTCTAGTAAATACTTCAAAAGAGGCTTAAGAAATATTTTAAAAAGTATTCGGTAGTCATGATAAGGTAAAAAAACTTCATCTACAAGTTTTACGAGTCGAGTTTACAAAATTACAACAAGGTACTTCTGAAATTATTTCTGATTAATTCTCAAAAAATCATTTCCACTGTTCATCAAATGAGATGAAATGATGAACAAATAAGTGATCAAAGAGTAATAAAAAAAATACTGAGATCTCTAGATCCAAATTATTTTATTGCTATTGCGATTGAAGAATCTAAAGATTTAGAAAAAATATCTTTAGAATAACTTACGGGTTTCCTTCAAATTCATAAATAAATGATTGCAAAATGAGGAGAAGATAAAACTACGGAGCAAGCACTATAAACCAAGCTTACTCTTGAAAATAAAGATGAATCAAATTCTTCAGATAGGAGTAGTGAATATATATCAAATAAAATTTAATTTTTTATAAAAAATAATAAGATTTTATGCCATACACACCTTAATAAAATGATATCTCAGAAAGAAAAAAAAAAGGGCTATACTTAATATGGTCCAATGCATGTTAAAAGAAAAAAAAATTCATAAAGAATTTTGGGGAGATAATGTTGCTTGTGCAGTTTACTTGCTTGACAGGTTTCCGACAAAACAAATTGATAATGTTATACCAGAAGAATTATGGAGCTTACAGAAACCAAGAATTGATTATTTTAGAATTTTTGAAAGTATTGCATTTGCCAAGATACCATAAGAAGAAAAAAAATAAAAATGAAGGATAAAAGTTAGAAATACATTTTGTTATATTATCCAGATAATTCCAATGGCTATAAACTCTACAATTCTATCATAAATAAAGTTATGAGTAACAGATTTGGAACTTGAAAAGCGATGAGCAATATGAGAAAGCTACAGCTTTAGAAGAAGATGATATAATATAAGCAAACACCAAAGTGGCTTTACCAGAATCATCACCTATATTAGCTAGGTCACATGATTTAAGAAGTCCGATTATAAGAAAGACAAGATCGATTCATGAGCTATATGATGTGACTTGAAGGATTGATACTAACAATAATAAACTTTTTTATTTTATCTTTTTACAAGATATTATCCATTAACTTTTGAAGAAGTTTGTAGAGAAGAAAAATGGAGACAAGCTATAAATGAAAAGATTCATGCTATTAACAAAATTGATATGGGAGCTTACTATACTTTCAAAAGACTACCAAGTGATCAGTGTTAAATAAATTTTTAAAATAAAAAGAAATACAAAAGAGGAGGTGGAGAAATACAAGGCTCGATTGGTTACAAAGGGAAACAAATAATAATATTAATTTGATTATAAAGAAGTATTTGTCCTAGTTACTCGATTAGAGATATTAAGATTACTTATCTCCCTAGCGGTCGAAATGAAATAAAAAATTTTATAAATGGATATCAAATCAATATTTTTTAATGGAGCCCTTGAAGAAGAAGTATATATTCAACAACCCCCTGGTTTTATTATTCATGAAAAAGAAGACAAAGTATAGTTAAAGAAAGCTCCTTATGGGCTTTAAACAAGCCCCACGAGCATGGATTCAATAACTTAGAAAGAAATTTGACATGTTAGATGAAACAAATTTAAGGGAGGAGAATGTTAGAAGTAAACTTGTTCAAGTATCATAAAGAGGTTAATTTCATCAAAAGATAGATTAATTGCATCAAGAGAGAGATTCATTATATCAAGAGGAAAAAATAGATTAAATATCTATGAAAGGACAAGTTAAATTCGCTAAAGGATTTCTTGAAAGAGAATAATATATTTTAAATAAAATTAATATAATATAACTTTGTGGACTATATAAACCCCATATGTTATCTTGTCTTACTCTTTTTTTTTGTGTGATAACTCTATCCTTTTTCGTATGAAGGTCAACAATAATATCACATGCTATCGATCTACATTTCTTTCTAAGAGTTCATTCATGTTCTTGCATGACATTTTAGCAAATGTCATGTTGTAGGTTCCATGCAACTGGAAGCACAGCTTGCGTTAAAGTTTACATGCATCCATGTTCTTTGTAAGGACAGTCGTACCATGCATCACTTGAACCATGACACCAGATCACCCAATCAATCCGGTGAAGTGAAAATGGTTACGTAGCAACCTTTTGTTCCTGCTTGGAAGTTTTTTTGAAATGGCTTACTGCGAATCCTAAGCGCCGATGCAAAGCCAAAGAGTAGACTATTAGGCTTGAATTGGTGTCCGACTTTGATATATATTAATCTCAATTAGTTTGAATCAAACTTATAATTATATGATATCAAATACAATGAGCAAGATCTTATTTTTTTATGGGAGAAAGTTTTTCCACTGTATCAGAAAGCAATTCCTGTAAGCATAAAAAGTATCAGAAAAGGACCACGTAATCTAACATTATTTAGATGATCATCCCCATTCCTCACAGAAATAAGTAGCAGCAGGAACTAGGAACTAATACACTACAGTTTGTTCTCAACATTTTGATCGGTGTCAGTCGTCAGAATACAGAATACAAGCAGAACATAACGATGAGAAAGACAGAGGATGAAGATGCTGGAAGAGAAGAACATATCTGACTACTATCTTCTACGAAGACCGGGGATCAAGTCCGTCAACCAAAAAAGGGAAAAGAAAGGAAGGTGTTCATGGAGTTGGTGCATGAATAAGATCCACATGCATCGATTCCTCAATCCATAAATATGGATTATATATAGCTCCATTACAATCACAGACAAACAAGACGTACAAATATTGCGGCCGTAAGTAGTTATCGATTATACTATCCGTTCTATCAGCCTTTATATTCGTCGATCGACAAATATAGATCCACATGCAGCTCCATTCCGTTCACGGTTACACCAGCCGTAGAAAACGTCGTGATTGACTTCGATCATTTCCAAGTCTTTCTCCACTAGAATTTTAATCTTTTGCGCCATTGTCGTCTATAAATACCACAACCCTAAAACTCTCTCTGCCACAAAGCATACGGCACATCTAGGGTTCAAGAGAAAGAATCAAACGAGAGAATGAGGTCCTCAAACTATGCTTCAGCTTTGGTCTGTGTTATGGCCTTAGCCATGGCCTACACCACCTTAGCGCAAAACTCCCCCCGAGACTTCGTGGACGCCCACAACACGGCCCGGGCGGCCGTCGGCGTCGGCCCTGTGTCCTGGGACGATAAGGTCACCGCGTACGCGGAGAACTACACCAAACAGCGCATCGGCGACTGCCAGCTCGTGCACTCCCACGGGCCTTACGGGGAGAACCTCTTCTGGGGCAGCAACACGGACTACACCGGAATCGACGCCGTCAAAAGCTGGGTCGACGAGAAGCAGTACTACGACCACAACAGCAACTCGTGCGCCGACGGCCAGGTCTCCGGCCACTACACGCAGGTGGTGTGGCGGGACTCGAAGACCATCGGGTGTGCCCGGGCACAGTGCGACAACGGCGGCATCTTTATCATCTGCAACTACAACCCAGAGGGCAACATCGAGGGGCAGAGCCCTTACTGAGACTGCCCCATCTTACCTTCTTCTTACATATTTCTACAAGTTTGCATGTGAAATAAGGCCGGAGTCCGTCTGCTGTGTTCTGTAAGAACATGGTGTATGAGTACGTATAGGCAATGTTCCAAAACACGCATCAGGCCGGAGTACGTCTGCAGTGTTCTGTAAGAACATGGTGTATGAGTACGTATCGGCAATGTTCCAAAACACGCATCTTTATGATTCACGAATAAAATTCATGTCTTCCAATGACTTTTTGGGATCCAAGAGGATTAATGCATGCATGCATGCAGTATGTGTTCAGGTTCACGTGATTTGCAAGGAATTTGCTTATCACAGTCATTCACTAATTCTACTTCCTTGCTTCTCCGACTTGGTAACATGGAAGGAGACACCAACATCAAGTTGGAAATATGCTCAGACCACAACATTAAGTTACAGAATCAACTGCTGCTAAGTAGCTCATCTTCCGTTGGTGATGATATTTCATTGCAATTTGGAAATAAAACTCATGCTGTTTCTGAAAGATGGAAAAACAGGGAAAAACTATCCTATTTCTTATAACCCATACGTTGTACATATTGGATTTACTTTTTAAAACTGAAATTTTCTTTTAAAACATTTTTAGTAGTTAATAAGGGTAGGATAGCTCTTTTGAAAACAAAATGCTATCTAATTTTTTTTTAATTAGAGTGCTAAAATTCTTAAATTTAGAGTTTTTTTTTTTTTTTGAGAATTCGCCATGAAATATGTATGGATAATTGTGGAAGGAAGAAGAATTAGCGAATAAATGTGATGAGCAAAGTAGCAGCTGTCCTTGCAACCTGAAACTTAACATATGCTTCATCGATGCGTTCCTCTTTGATCCCAAAAGCAATTCAAAGACATGAACTAATCAGTGAAATAATATAACCATGCATGTCTCAGTACATTAATTGCCTACGTATTCATGCACCATGTTCTTACAGAACACGGCAGACAGACTCGGGGCTTTATTTCACATGCATGCTCGTAGCTATAGCTTCCCTCAACAATGTTACAGGGAAGAAGATATGGTGATCTCAGTAAGGGCGCTCCCCCACGATGTTGCCCGCTGGGTTGTAGTTGCAGATGATAAAGATGCCGCCGTTGTCGCACTGCACCCGAGCACAGCCGATGGCCGTCGAGTCCTGCCACACCACCTGCGTGTAGTGGCCGCAGACCTGGCCGTCAGCGCACGAGTTGCTGTCGTAGTCGTAGTACTGCTTCTCGTCGACCCAGCTGTTGACGGCGTCGATTCCGGTGAATTCCGTGCTGCTGCCCCCGAAGAGGTTCTCCCCGTAAGGCCCGCCGGAGTGCACGAGCTGGCAGTCGCCGATGCGCTGGTTGGCGTAGTTCTGCGCGTACGCGGCGACGTTGTCGTCCCACGACACGGGGCCAACGCCGACGGCCGCCCGGGCCGAGTTGTGGGCGTCCACGAAGTCTTGGGGGGAGTTCTGCGCGAGGGTGGTGCAGGCCATGGCCAAGGCCATAGCACACACCAAAGCCGAAGCGTAATTTGCCGACCTCATTATCTCTTCCTCTCTCTCACTCTAGATGGGATAAACGTTTTGTGGCAAGGATAGCGTTGGGGTTGTGGTATTTATTGACGATGAACGGTGCAGAAATCAACATCTATGTGGACAAAAGCTTTGAGTAGAATCGTCAAAGTGGATCGCCAGTTTTTTCTACAGCTGATTTGTCGATTGTATGTTTGCATTGATTGATCGAGAAGATAGACGAAGAACAGTATTGATCTTATCAACGTAAGTCTATGCAAACCAATTTTTAGGTTTTGGAGGCGACATCTACATCCCTAACCAACAAGATGTTACAGCTTGACTTGTCAAAAATGCACAGTGATGGAAGGAGGACGTGAAGCGATTGAATGAAAGAAAGTGAGTTCTCTAGGATTTCTAGATAGAATGAAAGAAAATATATCAATTATTCGAGATTTATATATGGGGGTATATATAGAGATTATGCCCGAGTGAGAGTTGTTAAATCATGTTAAATATTTCTTTAATTTTCTATCGATCTCTACAATTTCTAATAATCCGAGAAGTCCTCTCTCCCTTTCCAACACTTAGATATGCCTGCTTAAGGCAGTAGTGTCTTGTATTTACCCAATGACTCTCATGTCTGCCCTTAAAACTCTTTACTTACTGACATTAACATGCTTCAAGAATCCATTGTGAAGGTAGAATCACATGTGACAGACATGTACTTCTCTCCCAACATCTTCGGGTGTTTCTTTTCGTCTTGTGCGATTCATGGAGATAAACGCCGCGCAACGCAGTTGAGTCCTTCGTCTTGCGTACGTGATCCGTGGCAACGTCATGCATCACACCACGGTGCCCATCTCGTGCTACTCGTCACCGACCACCGTGATGCATACCCTAATCTAGCTTAATCAAATCGGACAAGAAGTAATGTGTGTGGCGACTCCAAACTCTAAAACCTATGCTCGAGTCATGACTCGCCAACCGAAGTCAACTCAAGTCGTCGCAAGTGGCGAGATCCGTCCAGAACGCCGGCCCGTTGCGTCCATCACCAGTCAATACCAATTCAGACACGATTCACATCGACTCTTGCGTGCGTCGCCCGGAACGGAAATATCTCGGACGAGTTCACAAGCAGAGCCCAAGTCGCGACCTGAGTCGTAGCTTCGGTCTACCACCCATGCCATCGTCACCGGTCAATGCCTGCTTCCCTCCACGACTCTTCCATGTATCCACCTAAAGCACCAAGGCATATGCGATGGCAATCGATTCCTCGGCAGCGCATAGCATCCGCCATGAAACTTCGCCGGGGGTTGACGAAACGCTCGAGTTGGCCAAACAAAAGAACATACAGTGCTTGAGAGAAGCCAAGACTCTCCGGTCTGCATCACAAGCATCGGGTGTCGCAGCACGAATCATGAAGTGTCAGATGGAAAGATGTCCTTGTATTACTTACTGTTGAGAATGTGATGATGCAGCTCACAAGAAATATGCTTCCAAGTGTTCGAGGAAAGCTGATTGCTGCCCCAACATCTATGCAGCAGCGCATAGATTAACTGCTTGTGATCGAACAAGTTGTTCTCGTAGAACCTTGATATGTATATATGTCATCACGACTTCCACACGACTTAATGATGCGCCTACTGGCTATGTACACGTACATTGACAAAGCAGATCACAAGTATGCATTTCTCGCGTACTAAAAGAAAGGCCCACCGTATTGATCTGACATTGTTCATTTCATGAAACTGCTCGATTGACACTTTAAGCCCAAAACTCGAGTGCATATCATGGCAGATTAGGGCTGATCCTTCAAATTAAACTCGAGTGCATGATAAGAATCCGAATCAATTTGTTTTTGAATGATCGCTCTCTGTCCAAGATTTTGTTGAATGATTTGGTAATGTGGTTGAAGAACTGATTCTCATTTTCTGCAATGAGCGTCAAAAAAAAAAAAAAGGGGGAAACAACCGAAGGGATAAGTACATATTACCCCTGTAATTTCATAACATTATAAATTTAATCCAATGAAATTATGTTTTTAGTCTTAATATTTTACTTTTGTAAGTATAGTGATTCCAACTGATGTTTTGAGAGTACAAGAGACTTGACGCTAAAAATAACTAATTACAAAAGATAATTTATAATTAATTAAAATATTTTTAAAATATAAGCAGTAGAAAAAGTGGAAATAAAGGATCCTATTTCTTATAACTCATGCTGTTTCTGATGGAAAAACAGGGAAAAACTATCCTATTTCTTATAACTCATACGTTGTACATGTTGGATTTACGTTTTGAAACTGGAATTTTCTTTAAAAATATTTTTAGTAGTTATATATGTAAATATATGTTTTTTTGGATTGGTCGGAACCTTTACAAAATTTTTAAGATAGTCCTAAACAACCAAATTAACTTATTTAGAAATTTAAAATGATTACCAAATTAACTTATTTAGAAATTTAAAAATTACTTTTACCAAAATGGATTTAAGAGAGCAATAATGAACCTACTATGGTGAACATAATATTTTAATGATTTACCTTTGTGTTGATGATATTATATATATGTTCATCTAATTTTTTTGTGACAGAATTTAATAAATATATGATTAATAAGTTTGAAATGCCAGGTCTTTTGCATTATTATTTTGGTATATGTTTGATAAATGCAAGATATTTTAGAAGTTTAGTTAGAGGTTTGATTAGTATTCAAATTTATGCATAACCCAAGCAAACATCATCTTGGAGCTATTAAAAGAATTCTGAATTATATTATTGAAACTACATGACATTTGGTATTCTCATAATTTTAAATATAAATTATTTGGTTTCACTAATAGTAATTGGGCAGGAGCTTTAGATGATAGAAAGAGCACTTCATGCAATATTTTTAGCCTAAGATCAGAAGCTACATCTTAGAATTCAAAAAAAGCAAACAACAATTGTGTTGTCGAAATTGGAAGCATATATAGCTGCAACATCAATAGCTTATCAAGCAATATGACTTAGAAAACTTTTTGAAGATTTTCATTAAGAACAAAATGAAGCAACAAAAATATTTTGTGATAACAAAACCATAATTGTACCGATGAAGAATCCAACATTTCATGGAAGAATGAAACATATAGAGATATATTATCATTTCATCCGAGATATTGTAGCAAGTGTAGCCCAATAAAGTATTATTGAATAAATGAATAAGTTGTGGATATCCTCATCAAGTTACTTCTAGTTCAGAAGCATGTTTATTTCATGTCTCAAATCGGTGTATGAAACTATGAATCAAGGGGGAGCGTTGAAAATTGATCCATGATAATTATCTAGGTAGTCATCATGTTCTAGGCATGTTATAAGTAGTGGCCCATGATATAGGAGTTATGGGGGTAGTGCTTGTAGAGAAATCTAAGGGTGACATCACATGCGTAGCGAAAAAACATAAAACAAAAATCCTAAATTTTTTAAAAGGTGTTTATTATAGTGGGAAGATTGATATACAAAAACTAGTGAAACTAAAAACCACATGGGAGATAGTTGTATAATCTAGAGAGATCGTATATCCTTGAATTCATGCAGATATCTGGGAGAGGATGAAGGAGGTTAAACACCCTCCTCTCTAGCGGTGATCCACATGACAAGGGTTGTGAAAATGCTCCTCGAATTACTACCCAAATCTCTATACCTGTTGGTTGAGGAGAGTGGAGAAAGGGAGAGAAGAATAGGAGGTGACAGCCAAGAAGCCTAGCTTATGACCCTTTAGTTCTCTCCTATTTATAGAGGCCCCCTATCAACTTAACCTTAATAGATCTTACCCTATTTGGTATTAGATCTTCATCCAACTATCTAAGCCTCTTAGATTAGTGGATCTCTATCCAATAATCTCTTATTAGCTCTTATTAGATCTCATCCACATGATATAATAATTTAGGGGCTTATTGGATATCCAATAAGATAGAGGCTCTGTTGGATATCTCATATCAAAACCTCTACTCGTCGCAACACCTACCATATATATGTGACCATTTAGGCCTAATATCGAGCTGGTCGTGAGTCATACTTATCAAAACTCCATCTTACTCAATTAATTATTATCTTCATAATAATTCACTCGACTCATTGACTGTGGATGTACTATGCCACTACGCCGCAGTCCCCAGACGATACATGGAAATCCAATCCTTTAAACATATATGTCATTAGTTACTACGTACATATAATCCCTCATTCATCTAATATCCCAATGATTATACATCGGGCATGGTGCTGTTAGGCCTATACGGTTTCTCCTCGAGTCACACTCTAATCAAATTCTCCCGGAGAACTCTTGCTCTCTCAATCCGAATGACCTTGGCAAAGGATTTATCTAAGTAAGAACACATGAGAGCGGATGATCCTCTATCGACACTTAATAACCCTCAAAAGGTTGGTTGTCACTCTTGATAATCGACTGTGCTAGATCTAGAACTTCAAAAACCTATAAGTCTAGTACCAAAGAGCTGAGTATTTATACAGGACATCCTTGGTGTCTCAAGTTTAAGGACAAGTACACCATTGGAACGACGAAATCATTGTCTAATGATGATATATCATCAACCATCTAGCATTCCTTGAGTGGATCAATGAACTCATTCTCTAATTAGTACTTGCACTGTAGCCTTAATGTCCCAATACAAGTAACTATTAGACTACCTACCTCCATCATATAGATGGGCATACAACATACATGTGACGTAACACACATTCTTTTTGCTTATTATTATTATGATATTTTCTCACTTTATATTGCTTGATATATATATATATATCACTCACGTAATTTACTTATAGGACACCTATAACTAGCAGTGCCTACACTTAATCATGGGGTGATATGATGGGTGAGATTGTTACCACTAGGTCCTATAAATAGGATCATAGTTCATGAAGCAAGATGGAGTGTGTGCATTTAGGAATATCTTGTAAGTATTCTATGTCTTACCTATTGTTTAATACTATATCGGTTTTCTTGATTGAAAGTATTCTTTTTAATTGCATCGTAGGATTCTATTTTTATCATTTCCTTACTCCTCCATCCCCAACATCGTTG